CTGGGCTAGAAACACTGCTTACTGTGATTTTTTTTCCCTTGGATTTCCCATTCAGAACTCAATTTGGGGTACCTTCTAGATCTTTGTGGAGGATTTGTGTTGGACAGAACTCTGCTGCATTTCTTCCTGCAACTCCACCATTTTGACTCTGCCTCTCCAATGAACTTCCAAATCTTTGAGGTTAAGGTATTTAGTCTCCAGTTGATTTTTAATACTTTTTCCAGTGGCCCTTTATTTAATATAATTTTTATTGCATTGTGGATGATAAAAGATGTATATAATATTTGTGCTTTTCTGAATTTTTGTGAAGTTTTATGTCCTAAGACATCACCAATTTTTGTAAAGGTGTTATGCTACTTTCTATTTCCATTAAATAATCACCAAATGTCTATAATATCTAATTTTTTTGAAATTACATTCTGGTCTTTAACTTATTTCTTGTTTATTTTTTGGTTAAATTTGCTTAGGGCCGATAGGGGTAAGTTGAGGTCCTCCTCAACAGTAATATTCACTCTTATAGTTTTACTATTTCTCCTTGTAACTAATTTAGTTTTTTTTTTAATATATAGAAGCTATGTCATTCAGTGCAGGTATGTTAAGTATTGGAATTGATTCATTGTCACCTTTCAGCAAAATGTGGTTTTCCTATTTATCTTCTTTAATTAAATTGATTTGTGCTATGGCTTTATGTGAAATTGTAATTATTACCTTTGTTTTTTTATATTGAGCTGAGCCATAAAGGATTTTGCTCTAACACTGTTTCAATAATAACAAGTAGAATTTATATAGCACTTCAAGGATTGCAAAGTACTTTACAAATATTATCTCATTTTGTCTTCACAGTGACCCTTTGGAGTAGATGTTATTACAATCACCATTTTACAGATAAGGAAACTGAGGGAGAGGGAGGATATGTAACTTGCCTGGGATCACACAGCTAGTATGTGACTTAGGCAGGATTTGAATTCAGGTCTTTCCCACTCTCATTTGAATCTACTGCATCACCTAGCTACTTCTTGAATATTTCAAGTCTGTTTTATGTAAACAGGAGAATATTAGATTTTGCTTTCTAATCTCTTCTGGTAATCTCCTCTGTTTAATGGGTGAGTTCATCCCATTCACATTCACAGTTATGGTAGTAAAGTATGTCCCTCCATCCTATTCTCATATTTTTTTCTTCTCCATACTATTTGATTTCCATTTATTTTATTACCCTTTCTTTTTTTCCCTTTTTGCTTATAACTAATCCTACTCTGACTACCAGAAAAGGAGTGGCGTACAGCATTGCACAAAACATTCACAAACATTAAGATTGGCTTGATGAAAATGCTGGGAAAATTCAGAAGACGATAACCAACAAGGCAGCGTTTAACTCCACCCAAAGTAAAGTGCAAGTGAGGTTTCTTGGCTCAGTAAGAAAGCAGATGAAATTTAGTTCTGCACTGATAGTAAAAATCCAAAACACTTTTATGATGCCCTGAAGGCTATTTCTGGGCCAAAGCCCTATGGGTATCTCAACTATTCAGTGCTGATGTAGCCACAATGATTAGTGGTAAGGACATAATCATGGAGAAATGGGCTAAATGCTTCCATGCCTGGCACATAGTAGGTGCTTACCATATGTTTATTGACTAGACAGATTAGTCAATCTTAACATTAATTCATTAATGCTAAGTGTTGGAGATAGGGAGACAGAAGTGAAAGCTCCCCTGATCCCCAGGAGCTGCTGTTCTCTGGGAGAGAAATTTTCCAGGTCTAAGACCCTATGAAGAACATACAAGTTCCTAACACACTGTCATCAATCAATCAGTGCTGAAGCCACTGACCATGGACCTCAGGTTGAAGACAACCTCTGTCCAGCTGAATTTCCAACTGAAGAAGAGGTTTTGAACATCATTAGGCTCCTCTTGTGTGGCAAAGCGCCTAGTGCGATTCTATTCCAGTTGAGATTTACAAGGCAGGGGGTTCACGGCTCATGCAAAAGCTGACTGAAGTTTTCTGGGTTATATGGCAAGAGGAGGTTATCCCCTAGGAGTTCAAGGAGGCCTCCATCCTCCATCTCTACAAAGGAAAGTGACATAGGTTGTCCTGTGACAAGCAGGGTGGGGAGGTGGGGGGGATAGAAATGTCAAACGTTTATTTGCCTAAGACCATTTTACAGAGAACTCACACAAGGCAGGGGCTCACGTGGAGGTCAGAAGTCGTACAATGACACTCTCAAGGTCTCTCTGGAGAACTTTGGAATCGATTGTGAGACACGAGAGACCCTGGCACAGGACGCCCCGGCATGGTGTGCGCACATCAGAAGAGGCGCTGTGCTCTATGAGCAAAGCGGAACTGAAGGAGCTCAAAAGAAAAGCGAGGCGCCCAGATTTAGAGAATCCACCCCAAATGTTCACATGGACTGTTTGTGCCGGACCTGCGCCGGAGCCTTCCCAGGCTGCATGGCCTGATCAGCTTGCCCCAACACAGTGATGTCTTTTTGGTCTTCTCCGAGCACGAAGGACAACCACGAACCTGTTGACTTGACCCCTTTCTATGCCATCTAGCTGGGTGATCATCCCCACTGCAGCCTCCACGTCCTTATTTCCAGACCTACTTATCCCGCGTCTCTGGAGTCGCCCGGTGGGCATCTCGGCACCTCGACATCTCACCACGGTCCTTGTCACCCCCCGCCGCCTCACCCTCCCGCGCCCCGGGTGAGCTCGCCTTCTGAGCTCCCCAGGACCGCGGACAGTTTCACCTCGAGGTTTGTCGGGCTCCAGCCCAGGGCGCTTCACTGACTCTCCTCCTGCCTCCCCCCAGCCAGCCTCTGGGGTCCTGCTCCGCCTCCACATCTCTCCCAGTGCCCCCTCCTCCTTGGACGGGACAAACCCTCGAGCTGGCCGGGGTCAGCCCAGGGCCCTGTCGAGGGCCGGGCAGCAGCACTTGCTATGGACCACCCCGGGACCGATACAGGGCGGGATACTCCCGGGGGCAGGGAGTCTTTCTCTTCAGCCTCGGCACCCCCAGGGCTTCGCATTAACGAATTCATGCTAGGACTGATTAATCTCTCCAGTGGAACAGTCAACAAACGTGCGCTAGGCGCCTACTATGCGCCAGGCAAGGAGCTCAGCACTGGGGATACAAGCAGGAAAAACAAGAAAGAGTGCCTGCCTTCAGGAAGCTTACAGTCTAACGGGGGAAGCTGAAAGGGCGGCGGCGGGGGTAGAAGCCGTCAAGCCAAGCCCAGAGCAGCAGCCAGGTGAGACAGGAGGAGGCGTCCGGGCTCCCCCTGAAGAGGAGACTTAGGGTGCATGGGGGCAGAAGGCTGTGATGGGGGGAAGCCAAGGCCGATGGGGTCACCCCCACAGCGAGCCTCCTGGGGGACAAAGGGAGAGGTCCGCAGGTCGCGCAGCCAGGCGTTCTTGCTGCTTCTCCAGTGCCTGGCACACAGCAGGCGCTCAATTGGTGCAGGCTGAGGCTGATGGACAGGCGGGTTCCCCTAGGCCTGGAGCGCTGACTGCGGGGGACGCATGCGCAGTGCCTCCAGAGGCATTTGCCCTTCCAGAAGTTCCCAGCCCCGCCCCGCCCCCACCGCGGCTCCTCCCCCGACTCCCGTCCGCCCCGCCCCCTCCCGCTCGGCGCCGTCACCGCGCGTGCTGCGCGTGCCGACGCGCTGACGTAACGGTGGGCGGGGCCTGCGCGGGCGGTGCCTAGTCGTCCTCCGGGTGGGCGGGAATCGCTGCCGGCGGTGCGGGCGGTGCCCTAGGTGAGCGAGGCCGGAGGCTGGGGGAGGCAAGGCCCGGGGGGTCCCACCTTGATGGGGGACAGCGGAGGGAGGGGCTCAGAGCCCCGCCACCCGGTCCCTCCCTGGACTGGAGGGTGGGCGGCCACGCTAGCGGCCGCCCGCATGGATTAAGCGCCTACTGTGTACGGGGGCGGGAACGGAGAAAGGAAAAAGCAGGGCCTCGTGCCCTTCCGGAGCTCGTGCCCAGGACCCTCTGTCAGCCTGCATTTATTAGGCGCCTGCTGTGTCAGTAAATCTGATCGTGGGCGCACTCGAGAGAATCCTCGGCCGAGGCGGGGGTTGGGGGGTGGGGGAGAGCGGGCCCCGGGGGGGGGTCTGATCCCCAAGCCCCCCCCGTGTTATGTGGGGGAGGGGCGAGCCCTTGGTCCGGCGATGGGGGGCCTGGAGGGCTCAGGGGCCCCTGCGGAGGAGCTGCGGCTCTGCCATCCCTGTGGCCCCCGCTGGCCAGGAAGCATCTATGGAGCACCTGCTGCATGCCGGGCAGGGGCCAAGCTGGAGGGGACTTGTCCAGGAGGGCAGGCGCCTTGCCCAGCTCACGGAGGGTAGGACGGAGAAGCCCTGTGAGTGTCTCTGTCCGGGTGACCCCCCAGCAGCCCAGCCCCCCGCCCCAGCCGCTCCGGGGGGCTCCCGCAGAGACCTGGGCGGGGGTCGCTCCCCATCCGCGCAGTCAGAGGGGAGCCCTGAACCCAGGTCTTCTCTTCCTCTGGGGAAGCACCTAGTGTGTGCCTGGGGACGCCGGGAGAGCCCCAGCTGGGAGGAGCCCCCAGTGCAATGGGGGGCCCACGGCGGAGGGGGCTGCGCCCCGCCCCGGCATCCCTGCAGGGTCCTGGTGGAGGGGGGGGGCGGTAAGGGCCGAGACCGAAGCGCCCCGGGCTGGGGGGGCGTCATTGCGCTTTCCCTCGCCCAGGCACCTGCTCCTCCAGAGCAGAGCGTTGAGAAGTAACAGGAGAGATGGTCAGAGTGAGGGGAGAGGCGTTGACTTGGAGGTTACTCTGCCCGGCCTCAAGCCCTGCCTCCAGGGAGCTTTCACTCTACAGAGACACCGGTGCCTGTCCAGGGGCTGTGGCCTGCGGGGTTCCGGGGCTTCTTGGCTTCACAGATGCCTGGCAAGCTCCCGTCAGGAGGCGTGGCTTCCTGGGAGGCGGCTGGCACCTAGCTCGGTGCTACGGGCTTGGCAGCGCTGCCCACCCAGGGGCCTCCTCCCCTGCCCACCCGCTCGCGCCCCCGCGGGCGTAGTTCGTGGCTCAGCGCAGAAGGGCCTTTCCTTTCCCCACCCTGGTGCAGTGGACACGGGCCTCTGCCCACAGCTAGCGTTGCATTGGGAGGCGGGAGAGGGGCGGGAGACGGAGTCCACTGCACCCGGGGCTTTAAGGGCTGCCAGCCACCCAGCTGCTCTCCCGGGAATCCCCGCGGGCACAGGTGGCACTGAGGGTGCGGAGAGCGGCTCTGTTTCTCGGTGAGGTGACGCGTGTGGGGGGGTGTTCTCGATGTGCGTGGGGGCGTAAAGACATGGCTGTGGAGTGACCGTCAGCTCCAAACTGTGGGGCCCCAGGCCAGGGGCCAAGGGGGCTGGAGGTGTGGAATTGGCTGTTTCTCTCTGTCTCTGACCTGGGCAAATCACTTAACTTCAGTTTTCTCAACTGTGAAATGGGGATAATAATAGCACTTACCCCTGCCAGAGTTGTTGGGAGATAATGTTTGTAAAAGTGCTCAGCTCTGGGCCTGAAGCCGTAGTAGGCTCTATATAAAGTGTTTATTCCCTTCCCTTCCCTTCCCTTCCCCCACCCCGACTAGCTGGGGGTTTGGGTGTTGTGTACCTCACCCTAAACGCCCTTTCTTTAACCTCTCCCTGGCTGTTTTAATGATGATTATTGTGTGGTCAGAGAGCTGATGCTCAGGGTGCCCTCTCTTTCCACTTTTTGTTTCCATTTTAACCCTTGAAATTCTTGGCCTCTTGGGCCCCTGAATGAATTTTGTCCTTAGTTTTTCTAGCTCTGTAAAACATCCCTGGGGAGTCTGTACAGCATTAAATAAATACATTAATTTAGGCACTGCTGTCATTTTTATTATGTTGGATCGCACCGATGAGCAATGACTTTCTCCATTAGATTCGTGTCTCTCTTATTTAGAGCCGTCTTTATTTCTGCAGTGACTTTCCTGGAGAGGTTTGTAGAGTAACGAGGCCACTAGTTTTGAACAGCGCTTCTCTTTCTAGCCCTTCTCACTGGGCTTTGTCAGTCATTTATGGGCTCCTGATGATTTGTGTCGATTCATCTCACCCTGAAACTTAGCCTTTTAGTTCATTAATTATTTGAAATGTCTTAGTTGGCTTTGGAGGGATCTCTAGGTGGACCTTATGCCCAATGAAAGGAGTCGTGGTGTTTCCTCCTTGTTCTTTTTCTTGTCATATTGCCGAGCCAGCGTTACTAGTGGGGATGTGGACGATGGAAAGGCCTCTAACTCTTCTCCGTTATGTATCACGTGTGTTTGTGGGGCTAGAGAAAATTAATGACAATCATTTAAATGATCGTGTTGCCCTGTAATCCCAGCCGAGTGTCAGCCTTGGGTCTTTCCCACCCTTTTCGTTTGCTGCTACACATGAGCTGCTGAATGTAGGTGGAGGAACTTTCATGATCATTGTGATGACACAGATTGGTGTCACACAACGCCTCGTGGGCCCTCGCTGCTGCCAAGAGGTCCTTCCTCATCAGCCCCCTCCCTCACTCCCCACCTCGGCTCTTTCAGACCTTCTGTTCCCTCCTCAGGCCTCCCCAGCTGGTGTCACGTGATGACCCACCCTTGGCTGCTGAAGAGACCCCATCCCAGCCTGTCTTCTCCAGCAGATTGCTCCCTCTGTTGTCCCCTCTCTTTCACTTACCTTCAAACTCTCCCTCATTTCTTACAAAAGTGCCTGTGTCTCCCTCATCCTCAAAAACCTTCACTTAATCCTTTTATCTCCATAACTTTCCCTTATTTCTTCTGTCTTGTGGCTAAACTCCTTCAAAAAGGCTAGGTCTACACTAAGTGTCTCGACTTCCTTCTCACTCCTTTCTTAACCGCTCACAGTTTGACTTCCGGCCTCCCCTTTCCACCAGAACTGCCCTCTCCAAAGTGACCTTTGATCCCTTAGTTGCCCAATCCAGTGGCTTTTTCTCAGTCCGCGTGCTCCTTGACCTGTCTGCAGCCTTGGACACTGGGTCACTGTGTCTTCCCCGATCCTCTCTTCTCTCTAGGTTTTCAGGACACCCCTCTCTCCTGGTTCTCCTCCCACCTCTCAGTCTCCTTTGCTGGATCATCCTTCAGATCACACCATCTACCCTTAGGTGTCCCTCAGGGTCCTGTCCTGGGCCCTCTTCTCCCTCTGGACTAGTTCACTTGGGGATTTCATCAGCTCCCATGGATTTAATAACCCTTCTCAGTGCTAATGAGTCTCAAATCTACTCATCCTGCCCCAGTCTCTCCCGACTGCCAATTTCTCTTCTCCAACTGCCTTTCAGACATCTCCAACTGAGCAGCTAGTAGACATCTGAAACTCAACGTGTCCAAAACTGAACATGTGGCCTTTCCCCATAAATCCTTGTCCCTCCTGCCTTCCCTGTGGCTGAAGAGGGCACCATCCTCCTCCCACCCCTCAGGCTCCCCATGTAGGAGTCATCCTGGGCTCCTCACCTTCTCTCTCCCCCATATCTAAGCTGTTTCCAAGGCCTGTGATTTCGCCTTTGCAGCATCTCCCCTGCGCTAGTAATAGCCTGCTGGGAGCCAGCTGGAAGGGGGTGCTGCCTGCCTCAGGTCTCTCTGCACTCCAGTCCATCCTCCATTCAGCCATGAAAGTGATTTTCCCAAAGTGCTACCCCTCTCCCCCATCCCCCCGTTCAGTGACCACCAGATCTCCCTGTCACCTCCAGGAGCAAATACAAAGTGTTCTGTTTGGCCTTCAGAGCCCTTCTTAACCTGCCCCCTCCTATGTTCCTGGTCTCCTCATACCTCACTCTCTGGTCCAGTGACCTGGCCTCTTGGCTGTTCCACAAAGAAGACCCCCCCCATCTCTCTCAGCTCCAGCATTGTCCCCCAGGCCTGGAGTTGCTCTTCCTCCTCATCTCTTTCCTGGCTGCCTTGGCTTCCTGCCTTCTGTAGGAACCCTTTCCCAGGCCCTCTTCATTCCAGTGCCTTCTCTCCACAATCATAGAGCTTGTTTATAAATAGTTGTTTGCATGTCGTCTCCCCTATCACATGGTGAGCTCAAGCACCTACTGTGTGCTTAATATTTATTGACTGGCTATATTAAGATGAGGTCCATTTATTCCTATGATATCTAGCATTTTTAATAAGAATGAGAGTTGGCTCTTGAGATTATGTCCATGATCTCACTGGATTTCTTTTTTAAAAAATTTTATTAATTTATTTTGATTTTTCAGCATTCACTTCCATATGCTTTTGAGTTTAAAATTTTTCTCCCCCACCCTCCCCAAAACAGCACACAATCTGATATAGGCTATACATTTACATTCCTATTAAACATATTTTCACATTAGTGAAGTTGTAAGTAAAAATTAAAACCAATAGGAGGAACCATCAGGAAACAAAACTCAACAGAAGAGAAAAAAATGATAGCGATTCAACTTCCATAGTTCTTTCTCTGGATGTGGACAGCATTTTCCATCATGAGGCCTCTGGAGATGTCTTAGATCCTAGTAATGCTGAGAAGGGCTAAGTTTATCAATATTAGTCCTCGAACAACGTGGCTATTATTGTGTATAATGTTCTCCTGGTTCTGCTCACTTCACTTCACTGAGCACCAGTCCATACAAGTCTTTCCAGGTTTTTCTGAAGTCCTCAAGCTCATCATTTCTTATAGCACAATAGTATTCCATTACATTCATATACCACAACTTGTTCAGCCATTCCCCAACTGATGGGCATCCCCTCAATTTCCAATTCTTTGGCCACCACAAAAAGAGCTGCTATGAATATTTTTGTACACGTGGGTCCTTTTCCCATATGTATGATCTCTTTGGGATATAGCCCTAAAAGTGCTATTGCTGGGTCAAAGGGTATGCACTTTTTTATAGCCCTTTGGGCATAGTTCCAAATTGTTCTCCAAAACGGTTGGATCATTTCACAACTCCACCAACAATGCATTAGTGTTCCAATGTTCCCACATCTTCTCCAGCATTTATCATTTTCCTGTTTTGTCATGTTGGCCAATCTGATAGGTGTGATGTGGTACCTCAGAGTTGTTTTGATTTGCGTTTCTCTAATCAATAAAGATTTAGAGCATTTTTTCATATGACTATAGATGGCTTTAATTTCTTCACCTGAGAACTGTCTGTTTATATACTTTGACCATTTATCAGTTGGGGAATCTCACTGGATTTCTTAGCGAACTTGGAAGTGGCAGAGGAGAGAGACTTTCAGCAGTGGTCCAGTGGCAAGTGGCGTGTGCCTTCCTTCACCCCTCAGGGCTGTGACCAGGACACTGTGGTTACCCTGGCCTTTTCTGTGTTTTGGACTGTGAGCCAGTAAGGAGGTGTGAAGGCACTTTGAGCCAGGCCCTGTGCTCCATGCTGGGGGGCACACAGACAAAAGCCAGCCTGCCCTGGCCCCCCAAAAGCCTACGCTCTACCATCAGCTTGCATCAGTCCTCTAGCAAACCTTTCTGAGAGCTGGCTGAGGCTCTTACAAGGGAAAGAAGAGATGGCTAGAAAGAAGAGCTTGGTTGAAAACACCCAACCTTGGGCAAGTTGAGCTTTGTATCGGATCTTTTCTTGGTGTTTAAAATAAACCACTGCAAACCTGACTCAGAAACACTTGGTCTTAGGCCCTCACACACTCTGCCGCTCCCCCTGCCTCCACCTCTGGAACCGAGAGGCGCCTCAGCGCCCAGCCACAATGGGGAGTTCCTCTTGTTTTTCCATTAAAGACTGTTTTATGAATGTACATTTTTAGAATGTCTGTCACTGCCCAGTAACCTTTCTCCCTGTTCCCCGCCTTCCTTTGTGACAAATGACTAGATCAAACAAAGCGAGTTGGCGTGTCGGCCATGGTGCTGTCCTGTGAACCTCCAGGCCATATTGTCCTGCCAAGGAGTGGGCAGTCGGCTTCATCCTTGGGGCTAGGACGTCCTTTAGAAATCATGCTTGGTCCTTGTGTGTGTTACTGCCCTGGTTCTGCTCCTTGCGTGCACCCCAGTTCTGAGAGGTCTTCTCAGGCTTCTTGGGAATCCATCTCTTTCCACATTTCTTCTGGTGCAGTGATAGCCCCTCTCCTTCATATATCCTAATTTGTTCAGCTGTTCTAACTTGATGGTAGACAACCACATTTCTGCCCAGTTCTTGGCTATAACAAAAAGGGCTACAAAGATATTTTTGTACGTATGGGTACTTTTCCAGTGTTTATGATCTCTTTGGGTTGTGATCCTAGGAGTGGTGCCAGGGTGCCCCTGGGCATGTACAGGTT